GGAATGACTCAAATGAGTCCAAACCCTGAGTGGCAGGTTTCAGAGCAGGCAATGAGGTCTTCCTTAAAAGTTAAATAGTCCTTGTAGTGGTATGGAATGCGCAAGGTCTCATAGCAGGTGGCAGCAGTTGGATGTCTGCCATCCACTAGCTCCACTGTGAGACTTTTTGGCACAATCTCCCATCCAGTCCAGAATTTTAGGACATTTTTCAGCTCACTTGGTGTTGCTGTGAAGAAAAAAAATGAGGTTTAACAACCTTGAAAAAATCCAACCAATATATTTTTAACATTGCAATAATATTGGTATTCTACGGAGCCCCGCAGGGGACACGGGAGAAAAAAAAATTAAGACTGACTTTTGCGAGATCTCGCAAAACAAACTCAGGATCTCGCAAATGTTTTAGCCGCATTCTTCAGAGGCCGCCAGCTCGAAGCCGACCGGGAGGTCGAGGCACGATGTGCCGGGAAAGTGGCGTTCCTCCCGGCTGTAGTAGGTCTCGACCTCCCATTAGCTTCGAGCTAGTGGGTGTCACATCTCCAAAAGCGTCGGAGCACTTTTGCAAATATGTGATGTCTTGTAAACCGAGCAGGTATCTGACATTTACACCACTACATTCACGCCTCAAAATATCTTAAAGGTGTATTTTGTGACCCAGAAAGAGTAATATTACAACTAAGTAGCTGCCACCATTGTTGGAATTCAACTTTTGCGAGATCCCGAGTTTGTTTTGCGAGATCTCGCAAAAGTCCGTCTTAATTTTTTTTTCCTCCCATGTCCCCTGCGGGGCTCCGTAGTATTCCCCTCCTGCAAAATGGCAAACCTACCATTTAGAATAAAATGCCTCATGTAGCCTGTGATTCGGCATTTATTTTCAAGAGGACAGTCATCATCTTCATCTTCTGGCCACACGATCCGCTGAAGAAGGACCTGTAACAGAACAAAGTATACCCTTAAAAATACTGCTGCACATTTTTCAGATTTCCATGGATTTTGTCTCTTCTTGTTTTGAGTAGTTCCCTTCCCTATAGCCATATTTTATCTAATTAGTCACACCTGGTCTTAGCTCACTATCACCCACTTAGCCTTATGGTCCATGACTTGATTTCTTGAATAAATTTCTATAATAATACATGTTTTGTGCTTTTTGTGTTCACTTGGATCCCCAAACCTCTACATAGTTTTGACTGTATCTTAAAAGAAGAAACTGTCTCAAACCAAAAATGAAAATAGAAATCAATTTTTTTTTTCAAATTCAAACAACATTAATGGCTAAATATATAATTAGAAAATGTGTATTACCAAATAATTAGTAATGTATTTAAGTCATGTCTTTTTCAAATCTACAAAATCGTTTTCTATATGTAAATCAGGCTTTTCGAGCAGTTTTATTTTTAAAGGACTAAAGAAAAACTGCCGTAAAGATGTATGGTCCACAAGAATGTTCATTTTTAGTATTTGTGCATTTTATTTGTAAAAATGAATACAGCTTTGTTATGGTAAGTTTATTATTTGATACATAATTCTTGGTAAATGCCAAATTAAAATTGCAATTTTTTCACTTTGTAGAATGACTCAAGTCTTCATAGTTTGCTTTGGACTACATTTTCTACAACACAGTAAAATGTTATTAATGAATACAGTATTTAGGAACACAAAATTTACCTCAGGATTCACAGAAGCCAACTCTTGTGGAAAGAGTAAGGGCACAGTGTCAGGTCGCTGGGTCAGCAGGGTCCACATATGGGTTTCTTTAAGTCCCCTTCTCAGCTGTTTTATCGACCTCGTCACTCTTCCAATGACCTAAGGAAAAACGTTAACTAAACAGTAACACAGAAATATTTTACTTACTTTTCAATT